CGGGGGCCCGGGGACGGCGGAGCCACCCCCCTGCGTTGGGGAGTGGACAGCCGAGGCCAGCGGGGGTGTCTGGGTGCCGCTGGCCGCTCCGGAACCAGGTGGCCGTCCCCGCAGAGCACCTGTGTGTGGGGGAGTGTGGGGTCAGGGTCCCCGCAGGACAGCATCAGCGCTGTTGTGGAGCTCCATCCCACGGCCACCCCGGAGGATTTGAACACGCGTGTGCGTGCGTGTGCACGCCGAGGTGCTACCCCAGGAACCCGACCTCCGTCCACCAGGGCCCCGCCCAGGGCCGCCCTCTTTGGCCCCTGAGGGAGGCCCCGCTGGGCGAGAAGGGCTCCGGGACTCCTGGGGGGAGATGGGGGGGGCCTCAGGGCAGCACCCAGCCAGGAGGCCCTCAGGCTTTGGACCAGCCAGTGTCCCCACGTCCGGAGTCCCCTCCTCCGCTGTGACCATCTCAAAGCAGGCCTGGCCTTCTCCCGGGAAGAGACCTGTCACCAAATATGGTGTGGCCCAGCGAGGAATGTGGAGGCCCCCCTCCCCTCCCCTCCTAGCCTGGACAGATTAGGTCATTGTGACTTCACAGAGCTTGCTTCTTTTTAGTGAGCGTGCTGGAGGTGGCTCGGACTCAGACGGTGTTGATGTTACTGCAGCTCGAGTGGGAGGGACCCGGGGAGGAAAGTTAGCGGGGCGCTGGACACCGGAGCACCGAGGGCCCTCCCCGGGCGGGGTGTTGGTGGGCCTACCCAGGTGCCACCCAGGCCTCATGTGCGCCCTGACGGACGCGGCTCTGCTGGCCCGAGTGCGAGTTCGGAAGCCAGGCCTGTGCTCCTGCCCCGGTGGCCCCTGCCCGGACCTGGCGGTGCCGGTGGTGTCAGGGTCTTTAGCTGTGCCCATGTGGCAGGTGCCGAGTTACCTGGGCACGCACTCCCCTGGCATGAGTTTCAAGCCCCCGGGTCTGAGACGCGAACTGTAGTCAGCCATGTGGGAGTCCAGCGCCGTAAGCACTGTGGTGCTGCCCCTGAGCTGCACCATTCAAGTCGGTGTCAAGCCCTGGCTGGAGTGGCCCTCAGGGGGGGCGTCAGCGCTGCAGAGACTCTCACGTCCACCCCCGACGCTCGCGTCCCTCCGCGCTCACACTGCTGGGGACTTGCCGGTCCCGCTTTTCGAGCTGCCTGAAGGTCTTGTCTAAGGGGAACGGGGTGTTCTCGGCGCTGCCGAGCGTGCCACCGCGAGGGCCGCGCCCCTGCCCTGCCCAGCTCTCCATGCTGTGGGCTCGCGTGGCCAAGTGTGCAGGGGCAGCAGCTGGGCTTTCCCAGAGCCGGTTTGTCACACTGGGTTCCACGCCAAGGAAATGAAAGCTTCTCTCTGTTCCTTACTTCCCAAGGGCATCCGCTTCGACCCCGAGATCCCGCAGACGCTGCGACTCGAGTTTGCCAAGGCGAACACGAAGATGGCTAAGAGCAGGCTGGTCGGCACCCCCAACCCCAGCGCCCCCACGCCCAGCGCCGCACCCCAGCTCGCCCCCAGGGAGCCGTGTAAGTGGTCCGCTTTCATCCATGTGGAGAGACAGGAAACAAAGCCCGAGCCCTGTGCCCGCGCGTGTGAGGTTCGTGGGATGTAGCGCTGGCCGAGCCCCCGTCCTGTTCTGTCCACACCGCCTGAGTTCCAAATACAGCGTCCGGCCGGCGGCCAGCTGCTCTGCGAGGGTCAGCCTGTGCGGGGCCGTGGCATTGGACGTCCGCCTGCAGCAGGGCTCAGTGCCAGATGGACCGGGTGCACCCCACCGTGGGTGGGGCTCTCGTCCCTGAGCCTTGGATGCAAGAGCCGGTTCTCGGCAGCCATGTCAGCGTGTGTGTTGGACATGGTATCCCAGCTCTGGGGAGGGAGGTCAGAGCGAGAGCCGGTTCTTGGCAGCCAGGTCAGCGCGTGTTGGACATGGTGCTGCAGCTCTAGGGAGGGAGGTCAGAGCGAGAGCCGCCCCACCTCGTTCCGGTCTTTGCAGCCTGCCCATTGTGCCGGCCTGCCCTCCCTGACCTCATCAGCCTCTTCGTGGGCAGGGGGCCTCACGTCCATGCTGCCCGTGCTACGTGTTGGGCTTGCGCCGCTATCCCGGAGGTAGTGACTGTCCATGGTTCATGTCTGCAGAGATCTGAGTGCCCTTCCCCGGTGTGCTCTAAAGTAAAAATCTCCATGAAGCCAGAGGCTCACGACAGAGACAGGTGGTTCTGTCCTCCCTCGTCCCAGGGCTCCTTGAGGGCAGCGTTTATTTGGGAGGGATATAAACACAAGTTTCAGCTTGATGTGTCGCAGCCCTGGACGGCCCAGTCCCCGCGCGGTTCGTGTTCACAGCAGCCGGCCTGGCGAGGACAGCAGCTGTTTATTAGTACCTATGAGGGTGCACTGGGTGTGGTTGAGCTGCCGGTGGGTCACGGAGGTCTTCGCTGGCCTCTCTCTGAAATCCCCTCTTGGGAGCAAGGCATCGGGAGAGTGTCTCAGGAGGCAGGTCTGCAGAACTGGGGGTGCCGTGTGCTCAGTGAGCTGCCTCGGGCACAGGGTCTGAAAGAACACGGTAGGACCAGAGTGTGGGGATGAGGCCCACACCTTCCTGGGTCCCATGCCAAGTCCCCTTTGGGCCCTCTGAGTTCCGAACCTGCCACAATAGTCCGGGATCGACTGGCTGGGGCTGGAGCCGGTTTACAGGACCCACGGTCACAGTGGAGAGGATGTGGCCAGCACGGCCCAGAGCTCAGGAGCTGGCACCTCGACCCCCCACAGGCGGGACCACTCAGAAGCGTCCATTTCCACGCCCGGGTCCAGGGGCAACATAGAACCCGATGCTGAAATGAACCCGGACAGCCAGCAGCGTTCTGGAGAAGATGCAGGTTAGCGAGACTTGTTTAACAGCCCTCTGGTCATAGGCAGTGTGGTGTTCAGGTGCTGGACTCCCACATGGCCAATGGCAGTTCAAGTTCTGGGCTCAGCAGCTTGAAAATCACACTGGGTGCGTGTGCGTGCGTGCCCAAGATCCCGAGAGGAGAATGGAGGAGAAGGGACTGCGGCGTGGCCACCCCCCAGGGGTGAGTTCTCGCTTTCTGTCTCTGGCTCTCTATCTCTCCAGACCTCATCCCCACAGACTGTGTAGATGGCAGCCATGTGGCAAGGCCTGCGGGAGGTCTCTGTGCTCGCACGAGTCCTCATTGTCTCTGGTGATGGTGAATGTGCAGTGCGGGAGGCCGAGGCAGAGGGTCTGCCATGGCACAGCTGCATGGCTCAGTGTTGTGGCTCCCAGAGGGGGACACAGGGCCTGAGCTGGCGCTTCCTGATTCTGCGTCCGTTCATGCCAAGCACAGCCCCTGACCAAGCACACGCAGGCTCCTGGAGCTGGGCTGGGGTGGGGTGCCCTTTCCTACCCACCCTCAGCCGGAGCACAGACGAACACCTGTGCCGAGCGCCCTCGTGGGGCGTCGTGGTGCCACTGTCTGTGCCGGCTTCTGTCTGGCGCGGCTGCTCGGGCACAGCCCGGCTTGACGCACACACACACCGGGCGGGACCGTCCTGTGAAGGACCGCGAGGTCACTCTGGGCGGGCCCATGTGGGGTGTGGCAGTGCATGCGTCCCACTGGTCTGGACATTGCTGCAGAGCACACAGCATGGCAGGCACCTCTCTGGGTCCCAGTTTCAATTGCCTTTTTCTAAAAAGCTTATTTATTTCTTCCTAAGCAAGAGGGGCAGCCCCCCAGCGGAGCCCTACCACTGCGTCACCTTTGGGCCTCAATTTCAATCCCTGCACTTGACGAACGGCCAGGCCC